TTAAATGGATGTCATCCAAAGTGTGTTGTAAACTGCAAAGTGCTTGTTGAAGCCTCTGCCTGTGGTCTGCAGGGACAGGGACTGGCCACACTGTCACTCCTCAGGAATCTTGCAAAATTGGCTATGCAGAATGATTCACCCATGGATCTTTCCTTGTCTGCATTGTGAGCACAACACTATGTCCCAAATCCGGCCCCACCACAGACCTGCCCATTTAGAATCTGCAGGTGGGGCCCCACAGCTGACTGTTTTTAAGTTTCCCACGTGACTCAGAGGTCCCATCTGGGGACAGCACTGACAATTGGAGTCAGTATGAGGATAGTAGTTCCCCAGAGATCAGATGTCATTGGGTCTGCTTTTTTATCAATGCATGTCATCATCTACCAAAGTAGACTGGCCCCCAGAGGCCAGATGGTGGACACCACCCCAGAGTGAGGTGCTGGTGGAGAGGGCGCCCACCATTTCCACAAGGAGCCACCTCCCAGAATGGCAAGGAAAACACAGAGGAGCTGCTGGGCAGAGAAGTCAGCGCTCACCAAACACACCACGTGTGCCCCAAGAGTTTCCAGCCTTGCCTACAGATAGCTTGGAGCCATGTAACTAGTTTTGACCAATCTACTGTGACAGAAATAACAGGTGTCACTTCCAGGTTGAGGTGGTTAAAGCCAGCATGTCTCATCCATCCCTCTCGTCTACTTCCAGAGACCTCAAAGACAATATGTCCTCCATGATGTCTCCTCCAGCCTGAGTCCCCGAGTGACTGTGACCGTGACTGTGTGGAGCACAGAGAGGTTCCTGCTGGCTCTCACCAGAGATGTAACATGAGTGGGGAATTAACCTGTGCTGCCTAAGCCAATAAGACGCAAGACTATTTGCAGTAGTCAGCAATAGTGATCCTGATTAATATCATGCATATCAGGTGGTTTCTTTTTACTCTTCCCAGAAACAGAAATGCTCTGGATGTTAACAAAAGAAACTAAGGAAGTTTAGCAGACTTGATAACCACCAGCAAGAATTCCCAAGTTAATGACCAAGTCTACCTCCTAAATGCTTTGGAACAGCTCCAAAAACGTTAATCTGAATGCTTGACATCAGAAATTCTTCAGACACCTCCCCACCAAGAGAACCCCCAGATGTTAGCTGTGGCCCAAAGCCAAGCACCGGCCACCCATTCGGCAACCATGGTTGTGCCTAATAAACATTTTATGGACCTGTTCAATTGCAACACCATGCAGGCAATTAACTTCCATCATGGTTTTACTGTGGAAAGATGTTGCAAGCTTGGCCTATGAAAGCCGAGCCATGTATCGGTTCAGCAAGCCCTGCTGCCAAAGCCCAGTGGGGTGGGCCGTCAGCACAGGTGCATGCTCAGATTGGCTGCTTGTGGCTAATGGGCTGCTCCCAGTCTTGCCCACAGTCGGCTGGCACTGAGCCCTGAGGCTTCGTTCTCGCAGCAAAGGTCCTGGAAAATGCTGGACTGAACTACGCCCCCCACATAGCACAGAATGATGTTGAATTCACCGCAGAGGGATGTGTGGCCATGAAAATCTGCTCTGTCGGCTCTCCTGACTTCATCTTGTGCCC